CGGTCAAGCCCACAAATGTGGCATAGGAATCAGCGACGTAAAGAAACACTTGCTCGACGAAGAACTGCCGCTCGATCGGACATCTTGTTCGCTAGCGCCCAGAGGCGCACCATCCGCCAAACAACGCCTGCAAGCAACGTCATGTTCCGCCTGTTCCGCATCGGGGAGCTCACAGATTGGCAGCATTTCTTGCGCACAGAAGCGCCGCGTCCGCCTTGCGGCGCAGTCAGCGATATTAAGAAGGGCAATGAGAACTCTTTCTGTCCCTCCTCTTTCGGCTTGTTTCAAGGATAGAATATCATGGTTGGGCGCAGTTGCGGCGCGACCGCTCACAACATTTGACTGCGCACATTACAATCTTCCATGACCCATGGGGTGAAGCATAGAGCGCTGGAGGTGGCTCCAGGTATACTGCGCTTGCAAGACTCAAGCAGCTGCGCAGCTGTTCATGGGCGTAGTCAAGCAGGACTCCGAGATGTTGAGGCCACGCATGCCAAGTGGCAAAAAGGCAACAGTTGCACACCTTCTTACACTCTCCCGCGCGCTGCGGATTGTTTGCCGCGCGAAAAGCCCCAGCGCAGCAATGAGCAACGAATCCCTATACCACGGACCAAAACCATCGGCTAAACCATGATGTCGGCCAACTTTTGATGCTAACGACTGAGCTTGCACGTCTCAACTTCACGACCCATCTTCTGCCTTCGCCAGCTGGCGCGCAAAGCGGGACTTGAATCGCCCAGTTCGTCGTAGAGCTCCGGACATGGTACAGCTCCGGACTTGGCCTACCACGCCTGTCAACTTGGCTAAACCTCTTGGCTGTATTGGCGCCAAAGCGCTTCCGCATAAAATTTGCTTTGCCCCAATTTTTGGCACAACTCTTCCGGCAACAGGTTTTCCGGCGGATCGCAAGATGGAAGCGAAGACTTCGATCAATGTAAGCGCGAGGCGTCTTCAAACAAATTCGCCAGTCCGCGGAAGGCAGCGCGCCCCCACGTCGAAAGCATGTTGGGCGCCGCGGCGAAGCATCGGCGGCTCTCACGGCTTTTCGTCGTGCTGCCCTGCGTTTTTGTTTCTGTTCTCCCTTGCCTTCCGCTATCTCGATGTCCCAAGTCGAAGGTGCTGTCGTTGGTTGGAGCTGCACTCTTACCAACCCATTTTCCAGCTTCCTCTGCTTGTGATTTCCTACTAGTTGCGGCTTGCCCCACTTTTTTGCTGTTCTATCCCATGTCACAGTCACACTCAGATTCCGGTGTATCATCCCAACAATACTCTTTTGGAACCGATGCAGTCCAGGAGGCACTCCGAGAGTCGCTCGGGATCCTCCTAGATCTAAAACAATGCCAGTTGCCAAAACAAGGGCTGCCGTCTGCTGCAAAACACGCCGAAGCTTGAAACAGGTAGCTCTGCCCTTGTCAAAAGAAACTGCAGCCACAATGGAGTCTGTAAGAACAATAAAGCGCTTGCCAAAATTGTCTCTGCTCCTGAGCGCCTTTCTTAGCGCATACTGACTTGCCCGAGCCTCATACACCGGCGTGGTGTCTTCTCTCTACCATCTGTACCGGCCCACAGTGGTCCAAGTTGCGTCGAGTGCCCAAAACCATCAGTCTCGCAAGGAACTGGTTTGCTCAATGTAGATACATCTTGCTCAACCCCAACCAAGACTTCCTCACGCTCTGCTAGTACGTGTGAGAACTGAACAAAGGATCTAGGGTCTTTGGCCTGAGGGTCCTTGTACCTCCAATGCTCAACAAATCCCCCCAAAAAAACTTGGCTTCTGTCTGCGTGATGGTGCCTGTTGTCACCCCCAAGCCCCAACCCGATGCGTCATCCGCATAGATGAGTGAATATTAAGGGACAAATGCCGTCCCAGGTCAGCATTCTCCGGATGATTTCACCAGAATGGAAAGTGCTTCACGCCGAACTAGTGATACAAATGTTATATGCCCTACCAACCTTTCTATGTGTTGACCACTGGCACGACCCCGTCTGCAGAGCTTGCGCAGGCCTTGTCGGATCCTCCAAAGCTTTCTCCGAAGGCTTGACCAGGCCTGAGCTGTCCACACTCCAACCCAAAATGCTGTTTTGCAACCCATCAAGCTCGATTTCATCGACTGTGAGCCCTGCGCAACGCAAACTGCCAACAGCACGCCAGAACCTGGACTGCACCTCTTGCCTGTCGGTTCCAAACACGTGTGAGTTGTCAACGTATTGGACGTGCCAAAAATTCCCAGCCGGATGGGATCACCATCCCTCAGCCTCTCAGAAGCCATCAATCCAGATCCCTCACAGATATGTTGTGAGATTCGCTGGCACCACCACATAGCGTGCGACCAACCCATGGGAATAACCGCAACCCTGCGGTACACCCAATCAGTGGTCTTTGTTTCAATGCCCCCAATAGAGTTGATGCCTCACATCCCCAGCTTTGACTCTCCGCAACCAAAATAACACCTCAAACATTCAGGCATGGCCATGGTGTAAAAGGCATTCTGAAGATCTGCAGAGGCGACATGGAAGGCGCTGTCTTGTATTTTGGACATGCTGTCTCCTGTGGGCAATCTGATGTTCTCGGGAACCAAACCAACAATTTGCCCGCCTGCAGTCTAAAATCAGCCTGAGCTTCCCTCATGCAACTGCTTGACAAACGGTGAATACTTTTTGTGATCGTGAAACTGAGGGTCCTCGTTGCATTTGGCCACTCCGCATTCTTCCAGCCTCATAGCAGCGTCTTCTGCTCCAAGTGTGAAAGCGCGAGTGAAATCTTCCACCTCTTGTTGCCCGCCCTGACCCCAAAGCGTGGCCAAAGGAACTGGTTGCATCCCCTTGGCTGAGACAAGGTCGGGGTCGAAGGACCCGAGAGGTGACGAGGTTGGCAAGCTCTCTCGTACCCCTCTGAAACCCGAAGCTCCTCCAGGGCCTCCGAGCCCGAAAGACCAGATGGACCTCCAGCCTTCCGCGTTGCAGATTCAATGAACTCGAAAACCTTGGGCATACATACGATTGAGTGACTGCACTGCCGCGGCCACTTCTTGCTCAAAATGCCTCCGCCTTCCCATCCTCTGTTGGCATCGGGTAAAGGAAAGATGTCTCTGTCAACTGCTCTGAAAGCATGTGATCCTTATGGTTTCGCCAGCGAAATAGGATCCTTTTCCACCAGCACCCCATAGTCTATATAGGGTCTTCCTTCTGCTTCCCGGTCTTTCCAGCTTTTCGAGCAGCCTCTCTCTCTCCTCCCTGGCCTTTCTAAGGTTTGGGGCAAGGGAGGCCTCCTTCTCTGTCTCCTCTTTGACATGTCTCAGAAGCTCCGGTCAAACCATCAGGGTGGAGTATTGACGAATTACCCTGCCAAAAGTTGTCTGCTCTTCCAACGACAGTCTTCCTCCAACTGCTTTGGACTCCATGTCCTTCATCTTCTCACTATATGAATACTCGATGGTCTGGAGCCTCCTGAATGGTATCTCAATTGTCAACAAATTGAATTGAATGCATCCAATGGTCCAACTGATCAATCAAGAGGGCTTGCCGCAATGCCACGCTGACTTGAAAGTGCTCCTGCATGCCCCACAACGACGCGTCAGCTTTGGTGATCTGTCTGACTCGCTCGCGGTGGCCTTCCAAACCCAGATTCTCCACCGCAAGGTAGTTAACACACCACTTTGCCGACCAGCACCCACTTGACTTCTTTTCCTGGCATGCTGCAGCTACTTCTTTCAGCGTTCGCTCTGGTTGCCCAAGGGCATTGAGCTCAAGGGGCAGCGTCCTCATGTCGGACTTGGCAGGCCTCTGCAAAACAGAAAAAAGATCACCTCCATCAACACACTCAACAAAAATCTCACCGCCTTGTACTGCTTTAGCACCCCTTACTGCCGCTACAACAACACCCTCAACCTCCTGCGCATACTGAACTGAGCTGGTTGTCTCACTTGAGGGTCCCTGCAGGATAGCCAACTTCCAGATCCAGAGCCACCACCTGTCCTCGTGCAACCGGCACTGGGCCGGCAGCAGGCACCTCGGCACCAGCTAGAGGAGCCCCTTCCCGCCTCAACTGATCAGCCAATTGCTTTTCTCTCTCTCTCTCTCTTGGCTGTCCAATTGGGGAGGGGGTAGATCTCCCCAGCCACAACTCCTGCTGGAACAGTGCCAGGCCCTGGACGAACTCTCAATGCTCTAATGTCTGTGTTCAAGAGCCCTAGCTCCTCCTCGTAGACGTCGGAGTCTGGAGTGGCTACCACATAATCGAATGAACTCGAGGGCAATGCGCTCGTGCCACAACCGCGTGCCCCCGACATCATACTCAACCACAGTTCATTCTGGTTGAGTAAAGCCATGCCTCCTCAACCTGAGTTCTGCCAGCTGTCGATGGGCCAGATCCTGAGTGTGTCTAGGGGATCTATCCAAGACTCTGCACCACCCTGCTCACGGCAACGCTGACACCAAAGGCCTAACAATGTAAGAGCAATCAAGCAAGCACCCAATGCCAACAACGCTGACCAAAGCTGTCTCGCAGGATCTAACCCACCTTTGGGAAACACCAGTGCCTGGCCCCCGTCCGCCGATCCTAATGGCAAGCTGCCCGGTCCTCCACCCGGTGGTCCCAAAGGGGCCTCAGGATCCTTTGTTGCCACCTGGCTGCGATGTAAGTCCAACAAGAACTCCTGATACACACCCAGTTCCAGCCGCAGTTGGTGGGTCTCCCAGACAGTAAAGCCCAAAAGTCCCAGTCCGAGGGTATGGCTCACCACGAAGGCGCGGAACAACCACGGGGCCCCACATTGCGGGGCGGACTCCTTCAAAGGGAACCCTACTCTCAAGTCAAACCCGTGATTCACATTAAAGTCCACAAATCCAATTTCGATGAACGCCAGCGTCCACTCCACGTACAATGGGGCCTTTGTAGGATTCACCACCAACCGCCGTGCCAATCACACTATATAATTACTATGGATGATCAACACGAACTTCAAGTACACACCCTATCTCAAAACTACAAAAACTATTATCTCTTCAAGTAGACGCCCTTCCTCGCCGCATGTGCTGCACAGGGAAGATGGAGGTCCAAGGGCGTTTTCCTGGCGTGGAAAGAAAGGTGATGCATTCTGATGCATGGTTCCAATCATCGGCTCCCAGCGGAGCCCTCTTGAGCAGGCATGCTAAGCCAAGCCCGCGGTAAGGCTCGCCATGGTCGAGCAATTGAAATCGGTGAAGAGTGCCCTTCACCTACGATGGATTTAAAAAAGTCCTTCCAGAGCTCCAGAATTCACTAGCGTTGCACCAAGCAGCACTCAAAGCTCTGAGAGAAGTCTCACCTGCCTGCGCAACGCGGCTCTCATCAATTATCAATCCGGTGCCCTAATGCTGTCTGTTGTCTTGATCCAAACCAGGCAAGTCGCATGCTTTCCCGAGGTGCGTCTATCACATCCTCGGCCAGCACGACAAAGTCACAGTCCTTGGAGGCCAAATTTTGCAAGGAACCGTAATGGGAAGAATAAGCTTGTCTGCGGCCGCCGCCTCTGACAAAGACACTCGCCAGTCCATAAGTTCGCAGTAGCCTCAGCCAACAAACCCAAAGGACTGAGAGCGAGAGACATGGCCTTCAAAATGCTACGGGGGGCCGTTCATGTTCGTTCAGGTTCGGAAGGCTGCTAATCCTTTAGCTGTCCTTCCCCTTTTGTGTTTTTCCCCTCTGATCACTTTTCCTTTCCTGCATTTTGTGTTTTCCGTTTACCTTCTATCTTGTTTTGCTTTTCTCATTCCTTTTCCCATGCATTCTTTCCAGATGTTCACCACAAAATAAACTAGCAGTCTCTGTTTGAACCAGAAATGAACGCTCTGCTTCAGTTGGAATAGTTGGACGACAATGACAGGAATATGTTTTCTTTGCTTTGAGACTCGGGAACACTGTGATAGCTTCTGCGGAAGACGGGGAGAGCACAGAAAGCAGTAAGAGCTTGTTGCATCGAGTTCAACACATAGACCCTCTCTCATATATATATATATATTGTACATATACACCGACAGTAGTGCACAACAAACGTCAGTTTTCTCAGCACTTCACAGGCATCTGGAAGGGAGTCCACAGAGGAGTCCTGCACACTGATTCTCTGGTTCTCCCACGCCGCAAACCACCGACAGGAAGCCAGAAACAGCAAACCACGGCAGCAATCGCCCAGGCAATCCTCAGGTATGCTGGACCATTCGTCAGACTCTGCTGTTCTGGCTGTAGTTGCCCTTCCCTGTCATCGGTGCACATTGTACACCAATCAAGCGCTCTAACCCTAGGGTTAAACTCGTATCGAAGAGTAAGCAAACCGCCCAAGCTCAAACACCCAAGGTCGAAATCGTTTTGGATCACACCTCCGACCATGCAGAGGCCACAGCAGGATCTACGGTTGTCTCCATGGACATTAGCCCAGAGTCACCCGAATGCGCCTGCAGCAAGCAATGGGTTGAAGAGTTACAAAACAGGGTGCACTATGTTGTCTTGGCTGTCCTGGAGCCCCAAACTGGCTGTGGCTGAGAGTCTTTGGCTGAGGGGCTGGCCCAGGGAGACTCAAGTTTTTGCTGTTTTATCCTATCCTGCCGTTGCCACAACAGAACTAAAATAAACAAGTAAGCATGCGGAACGGTGAGTACCCACAAGCAAATCACGTTCTCTGTTTCTCCTGCTGCAAGCGGTCTTTGCCTTTGCCAGCCTCATTACTCACAACAGCTGGTTGCTCTATCAACGGGGGGGGGCTATGTTCGTGATGCGGATCACCAGCACTTGGACCATGGTGCCTTCTGTAACCAAATGGCCAGAAACCCAAAAAAACATTCTGCATGATCGGGCCTTCTCCTCTGCCTCGGACTTCTCTACGACGTCTTTGGTCTTTCCCTGCGGCCGCGCAGGACATGTATACAATGCACCATACCAAGGATCTCACGATCTCGGCCTAGCCCGGCTAAACTATATATTTTACCAAATTGTAGTAATGAGTATAAGTTAATTGTCATTAAGCAAACAAACAAATCCGAGCACATACCAGTAAGACAGACTGTAAACCCATCCCCTTTGCCAGAGTTCTTTTAAGCTGCGACCTGGGCTAAGCCACCTCAGGGCCTCCACAAGTATCTCAGGAACCTCTTCCAAAGATCTCCTCCAGGCCCTCCCTGTAGTGGGACAACACCAAATGTATCCAAATGTGTGTCTCCGCAATGGCAAACCCTGCAAAGATTGGCTGTTTTGTAGCAGTGCATCGTTTTCGTGGCTTTACGCCGCCACTAATTGTTGAAGCAATGGTGTTGCCAACCCTGATGATCCTACTCAAACATGTTGATTCTTGCCAAAAATCCAGGCACTTTATCTGATTGCTTGCCTGGGTCCCAGGATTGCACCGGATTGAAAGGCAGTTGCCGATACAGAAAATGGAGAAGCAGCCAGGATCATAAAGCACCATTTGTGACCTGGACCTGAAAAGGTACAGCTCTACAAACCAAAAGCCTGGCCTGGAGCAGCACCAGGTGAGCGTTGAGCGCAGAGTCGTCCGACCCCTCTGATTCTGTCTCAGAAGGCTCCTGGTTTGCAAAGCTAGGTTTGGTCAGGCTACTGAGGAGCCCAGGAAACATTGGCCAGAACCAAGCCTCTGCAGCGGGAGCAGGACTTGCGGCTTGAGCGCCAACCTCCGTTTTTGCCGGTCGTGCGGAAAAAAACAGTTTGCAAGCTGGCTTCAATGACCGTCACTGTCGAGCGCATCCTATTTCACAAAGCTATTTCAATGTGTACTAGTGACTAGTGTTCGTTGGTTGAACAAATTATCGGCTAAGCTAGGTCTCACGGCCTTCGCTCAAGCAATGCCAAATGATGTTTCTGGTGTGGGGGGGGTCTCCTAAACCAAACGGTGCGCGGGCGGGGTAGGGCCCTTTCGTAGTGATATAGTTCGATCCCTTGCACTTGCACCTGTCAATGTTAACACCCTCTTTGCAACACGGAACTTGAGAGCAGCTCGCCTTTGTGACATTCTGATTCCTAACCGGTGGTCCTCCTCTGTTATCCGCGCGACGCTGACAAGTTGATCGCTCCAACAATCACTCGGCCAAATCTCCTCAACACCTGGACCTGTGAACCTATGTGAGGGAACACGATCCGCATTCATTGACACCACTACTGATCAAAGCCATTTGGCAAAGAAAGGGAACAACTAATTTCAAATACGAAGAAGTGGAACTAACTACCGGCAGAACAAACTAACCAAGAGAAAATAAACGACCCAAGAAGTGGAGCCTCGAGAAGAAGGACCCGGATCATAAACTGGTGTGTTTGGTTAAGTTATTATATATATACACAACGCAACAGGTAGAGCGCCATAAGGACAGAGCTCTACAGCCAGGCAAAGAACACAAAGATCGCTTTGTCCACGGCAAGGGCATCTACACGATCATGCGCAGAAGCTATGAGGTGTGCCGGAGCTGCCGGCAGAGCTGGATCTGGCAAGGTAGACTTCTATCGAAGCCAGATCTGAAGTGCCTGCACTGTGGCACAGCATGGCAGACCCATACACTGCCAGATCTAAAAAAGAAAAGGCGGGCGGCATGGGCAGCATGGAATTTCCCTCAAAGAGGAGAACGATGGCCTCACAAGAGCTACAAGGACATCCTGCTGGACAAGCCACCTGGATTACACGGAGGCCAACCCAAAAAACCAAAGAAGGTGAAGCAAACTGCCCTCACAAAGGCAGTGCAAGAGCATTGGGAACAGCTTCCTGAAGCCATGAAGAAACAATGTGAAGCTACGAATACTTAGCAGCGCGTCATGTCATTCTTTGGAAGAAGTTTCAGTGAGCCCTGCGGCATATGATCAGCAGTCTCAAGCAGAACACTGAAGCCAAAAAAGTCCACGAGCAGGCCGAGAAACCAGTGGAGGTTCACCCGTAAGGGTATACGCATATGCTGCGCCCCTCGCTGGGGATCACACCACAGCCCACAGTGGGACTCTGTGGCAAGACACACTTAGATAAAGGCTCGCAAGAGCAGTGTCAGTTGACGAAGTCCCACTTTACTGCAGGTAGGCCCTTGCACGCAATTAGACCTTGACTTGAATCAACTGCAGGGAGTGCTGGGTCCGCTCAACAGAAGGTTTAACAGAAGCGCACTAGCCCCTTATAGCCCCTTAAAGGATGTTAAAAATTTTGCAGGTACGTGGAAACGGCGCCCCATTTCCATATCCTCGGATACATCGCCAGCTTCGTTGACCAGGCGACGATGTATCCTGCCTGGCCCCCTGCTCTGTACATGATTAAGAATTCCTTGGAAACAGGAGTTGACACACACACATTCGAGATATAGCACGTACAGACTGAAAGCTGCAAGCCTTGAAGTTGCCTAAGTATAAAATCAGGTTGAAATAATTACAAGTGCAAAATGCAGCGTTGTCCGACCGTTGAAATTCAACAGGCTTGGGAAGTAGTCAAAGCTCCAAAAAATCTGACCTGGAAGGTTTAAATAGTCTGTCGTCTCTACAAATGGCAACAGATTTGTTGCGCAGTGAAATATATTTATAAAGACTTGAAACAACATATACAGTACGTGTGACGAGGGGGCCGGAGTTACATCATACCTGCTGTATTAGATTTTTTGAATCCGCCGACCCCTGCCTGGCTGACGGCCAGGCGGGGCAGCGCCTGGGACACCGCAGGGTGAAACGGTGGCTCAACTTGCTTTCGGCCAGTTGCTCCCGGACTTGTCTGTGGCCATCACCTCCGATGCTACGCGGCTCCGCAAAGCGACGTTAGACAGTCTGCTGCTGTCTGGGACCCGTTTGCGCGCTGAATTAGATGGGGGAAGGTCGTGGCCAGCCTTTTTCGGGCTTCTACAGGGCAGCAGGACTTGTCTGTGGCCATCACCTCGGCTGCCGCTACGCAGCTCCGCACCTCTTTTTCTATAGGGCTCCGCTCGGTGACAGGTCTCTGGCCATCACCTGGGCTGCTACCACAGCTACTATGGCCTTGGCAGCAGGACTTGTCTGTGGCCATCAGCTGCTGCTACGCGGCTCCGCATCTCCCATGTACGAATGCCACTCATTGATCAGAGTCTGCAGCGACACTTTTTCAGCACGGTCATGACTAGTGGCCAACGAGGGCGGCAAGCATGCTGAACCCTGATCCATGATGGTGGCTTTCCCATCAATCATCATTTTCCTGACCCAAGTGCCCGTCAGGGCAGGAGGTTGAGTGTAAGCCAAAAAAGCTTTCAGAAATTCCTGTGCATCGTGTTGCCTGCCATCTCCCCAGCAGGCAAGCCATTCACTCCAGCACGTTAGAGAGTGGCCGCTGCCGTCGGGCACCCTTTCCGACCGCTGTTGCGCGCAGAAATAGATGGTGTCGTTTGCCCGGCCTGAACATTGTGCGACACCAGCCCGTTTTGGGCAGTCTACAGGGCAGCAGGACCGCTCGGTGACAGGTCTCTGGCCATCACCGGGGCTGCTACTACAGCTACTATGGCCTTGTCTGGAGTGGCCACTTTCCAACCGCTGTTGTGCGCAGAAATAGATGGTGTCGTTTGCCCGGCCTGAAACCCTGCCCCAGCGACACCAGCCCGTTACAATATGGGAAGATGGGGGGAATTTTCCTGCTGCGCGAATATATAGGAGTCGGCGGCACCAGGGCGAAGCCCTTACAATTTATCAACAAATGTGTCTTCGTTGACTGCAAGACCCCCTTTGACTCGAAGGATCGCACACACCTGTAAACTTTGGTGCCAGGCCTTACAAGTTGCAGTATGTCCCCGCCTTCTCTTGCGCAGCTTGAGGTTCGACCGGCTTGGCCTCTCCTGTCAAAGCCACCTCAGTCTTTACCTGCTTCGACTTGATTCCAGCAGCGTCTTTTGCCTGCTTCTCTTCCCTTGGAGGACAAAGCGGGGCACACGGCGCGCACATGCTTGACCCTCATTGTCACCAATTGGTTTCACTGCACTGCTCGTTGTTACACACTGGGCCAGTTGGCTGCTTCTTTTTCCGGAAATCTGCGAGTTTCCTCCGGCGTTCCTCATCTTGGCGTTGTTTCTCTGCATGCGCAGCTCCTCGGTTGTTTGCGGGTGCCCGCCATGCTGCACCACCGCACTAGTCACTAGTCGACAGCAAATGATATCAGAACCACACAACCGCACATGAATTAGCAAACGACCCTACAGGACTCAGTATGTAGACTCGAACCCCCAAAAAAAACATTTGGCTTGAAGTGTGTCAGCATTGTAGAGGCAGTTTTGCACACCGGGGGAACGAACGCCACCAAGCCGCTTTGGCTGCCCTTCTGCACAAGCGACAACGAGTTTTCAATAGTTTTCATTCATTTCAAGCCTTCCCACCCACCAGTGCGCAGAACCGTTTGCACCTTTTGGTTGGTAGTCATTTGACTTTCGGCACGCATGCTCAAGCTCGCCCTATGCTACTAAAGAAAACAATAGAAGGTTAATTTTAGCTGTGGCCTTGGTTGAAAGTGGCCCAACAATTGGACGCAAAGCCCAAGGTTTGTAACTCTTCTGTAAGGCAACACTTGCCTGGTTGCGTCCCTTTTGAAACCTGTGAAGTCTCACTCCCACTCACTCTCTCTCTCTCTCTCTGTGTCTATGACGCTTCGCAAGGGACAAACAAGCGCGACCCGAGGCGTGTTTATGCACAGAATAGTATGGCAGTTCGCAGTTTCATCAGTCGGAACTGATGGATGATGGAGGCCAGGATAGCCTTCCAGCAACCAAGGGGCTGGTTTGGGCATGATAGGGAAAGTACACCCACATCTGCATTGCATCCCCAACTGCTCCCATGTACAAAAAGAGTAGTGTAGTGGGTAGTCAGTAGTAGGGCCTTGTGTGTTCACACACGCTTGGCGCCCACCAAATTGTTCAAGCTAGCTGGGGTTGTTCTTATTCATCCTTGCTCAGTTTGCAATTCATCATCAACCACGGCCCCTGATTGCACATGTTGTTTCACCATGTTTGCGATGGCTCCATCTGGCCAAAGAATTGGAAAAGCGGAACAAGTCTGAGGCAAAATCTATTGGCGGCATCATCAAAGGGGTCACCTAAAGCCATGTTCTTCGCGTGCCTCTCCTGGCGATATAAAAACTCCAAGGGAATCTTTGACAAAGCCTCACAGTTTGCCTTAATGCCAGTGGGTCTCCTTTGCCAACCGCCCAGTGGGATCACAAAGCGGATCCTTCATACCTTGGCAGCAGTGAAGCCTTCCCTCCTTCACTTTACAGCTGCTCCATCGTGTAGTGAAATGCAAACTGGGAAAACGAAGCGTCAAACAACAAGCTGCATCACAACAAACCTATGGACGTGTACCCATCCAACGGGCCATGCAAACGAAGCGTCCTGGCTACCAAGTTGCTTCGCAAATCATCTAGAATGTCTTTTGACAACTGCCCTTTTACCTTCATGACTTTCAGCCTGATGAGCTGCAGGGTTGTTGTCACGGGCAATCACAAGAGATGTGAAGGATTGCATTCATTCAAAATGCCAACGGAAAGAAGCGGCGCAACCTCGGTACATAAACTGAATGCGGGCATGATTCGTCTAAGTCTAGGACCGACCAGGTAACCACCCAATTCAAACAAATAAGAGGATAATTGATATAATTTGATGATAATGTAGAACTGCGGTCCATGTGCCAAACTTGAAGGCCCATCCAAGGCACTGCTTCTCTGCACACTTCATCATGACGTCAAAAATTCGAACTGTGACGCCAAGGCCTGGGACAGGGGACACTACCAACATCTATCAACTACACTCATCCAATCTTTAATAGCAATGGCCTCCAACCTAATAGCGATGGCCTCCAACTACACCGAGTTTTGTTCTCCGTTCCATTCCACCTGTTCATTGTGCTGCAATCTTTAGTCTGCCTGTGTGAGCAAGGAACAGGTCAGGTCCACGGTAGGCAGCACCGCCCCAAAGACCCCCCAGGTAGTCGACAGTGCGCTTCCTGAGATTTCATGAGTTGGATGCGACATGATTCGACCAAATCCAATCAGCAGTTCAATGTTTTGCACGACCTGTTTCCCTCAGCAGCCCAAGCACTTCAAATTCTTGAGGTTTCGATTCTCGAAGAACTTTTTGGTGTCACGGTCCTGGAACAAAGCCAAAGAAAACACTGGAAGCGCAATAGCTTTGGAAATTCAGTCTCAAAAGCCACCAGGGGATACCACAGCCCTGTAACTATATATGAAATATGCACATACACGCCGCATATGTCAATAATTATCAATAATTCAACACACGCATCGCATGCCTGGCATGCCTGTGTGTGTGCGCGTGTGAGAGAGGATTGAACAAACGTATTCCTCCTACACAACGTTCATTGGCAGCACCAGTTTGGACCCATCTTTTGCAAATTGAAACTCTTTGTTTCATGTTAGTGGGCAAGTTGACGTAGCTGTCCCACAGCGACTCTCTGAGGAATGAATCTGCCTTGCTTATTCTACCATATTCTACCTGGTACCTCTTGATATGACGGACACTGAGCTGAAATGTGAAGAGACAAGGGTTGCGCGAACAAATGCTTTGGGCAGGCATGTAACACAAGCGAAGTATAGCTAAACATCTGCCACAGTGAGCAGAGAGGAGGAGGCATAGGTGAGCCAAACATCCCTCAAACAAGCCATGTACACCTGCATTGAGCAATTGAGCAAGGTCTTTCCGAGAGGTGTCCCGCAAGTGTGTGATGAACTTTTAGATGCTGCGCCCGTAGGTGGGAATCTGCCAGGTCGCCGCAGAGCCCGCCTAGCCGAAGGAGTCCCTGTGTCAAGAGTGCGGCCGGCTCCCCCTGTGGTATCAAGGAGCCGCAGCTTGCTGGTCGTGTGACAACCTGCTGGGTTAGCTGCTAGCTATGCACCAAAGTGTGATTCTCCCTGCCCAGATTGTCCAAGTAAGCGCAGTAGTTTCCTTGTCTTGATGTTGCTCACTTTTGCTTTGCCCACGGGCCTGCTGATCCTCCCTTCACCTCTGAGCCTCTCTCCCTTCCCCCTTCCCATCCTCCCGATCTCTTCGGGGCCCCCACTCCGCTCCCGAAAAAGGCGGACAAGCCAGGAGACAGTCTACGCGAGCCAACCCTTATCTAGATATCCTTTGCCTTATCCTATACCCTGCCCACATCATTGCCGTGCAACTATTGCCTGTGTCGTGGAGATCGCGGCCTATTGCTCGTGTCCAGTCGTTGCCCTGTCATCGCACATGTGCATGGTTCACCAACATCTGGGAACTCACTGGCAACGCCATTGCCTGGCCTGAGTGCATGCATCCTTGCTACTATGAGAACATCCTGCCAAATCATGCTGAATCAATCTACGTATGACTTGTGAGTCAACTCATGTCAAACTGCCCGTGTTCTTCGCAGTTTCAAATCCCAAAGCTGTAGAAGTCCGTCGCCATGAGGTCGTAAAAGCCATCTACGAACTTCTCCAACGCTGATTGCCCACCAAGTTTTTCAAAAATGCTGTCCGGGCCACCTTTGGCATCAAGAGGTGCAATGGAGATCAACGGAGATCAACAAAGAATGCTTCAATATGCAAGAACATGAGTGAAAAAAGAAAAACAACGATGCCGCAATGCCATTCAGGGGTCTACTCCCGTGTGGGGAGGTATTACGACATAGAACCTTTGTAAACTCTTGCTCTGAATATCACCTTTGCACTTTTGGGAATTCTGGGTTCCAGCAAGCAGACCTGCATTGGAGATGACATGAACTCCGACATTGGCCATCGCAGCGGCAGAGCACTGGAAATGGCTCGTGGCAGGGACAAACTGTGACATGCCGGACTCCGTTTAGAAGTTGTGAGGACATACCTGCAAGTCCTACAAGGACAAGAACTTGCAAAATCAAAACAGCATGTGACAAGCGTGAAAAGATTGAAAAAAACATTCGCCCTGTTTTTGAAGGCACTGCATGACTGTCTTTTCATCGTCTAATTGCCCCTGTAGCATCTCTGCTGAAAGAGCTTGTTCAACTTGAAAGCTGAAAGGTGGCAACATATGCCAACGCCAGTCCGGCGAGGCCTGCCACTTTCGCAGGACAATCAGGAAGCTCACTAGGCAAGCGCCTGGAGCTTTGAGTCGAAAGAAAGGAACCATGCATGTAACCGCGCCACGCACCCCCTTGTTGAGCCTATCCACCAGAAAGTTACAGAAAATTTACATCTGGATAGCGAGACAGTTTGCACGCAATCTGCCTGAGGCATCCTGGAGGCTTGTTTGACTCACAAGCTGAAAGGTACATCAAGCATGCGGCCTCAGCTTCCGTCGTTTGTTGCAAAATTGTTTAGTTGATGAGACTGTTACACTGCAAGCATCTCTGCGGGTCACTGACCTTTCTTCGCACACTGAATTGCAAGTAAGTGGGCTTGGTTCCTGTACAACACAATCCCAAGCCAAACCCGAATTTCAAGTTTGCAGAATGCACACAACAGCTGCCACGCAGCTTTCGAATTTTCTCAGAGCATGTTGCTCGTGCGATTGCACATTGTGAGTGCGCGCGTCAGCTTGTCAGGCCACGACCTGACCCGTGCATAAACTGGAGTGAAAAGTATCAATGTAATTGTACTGTACAACTCAAACAGCTCTTGGTGTGCCTGAGCCATAGGGGGCCGCTTGGCACACCTCAACACAATGTCCCCAGCTGGGTGCTCCAAAAGAGAATCAGGGATTCATAATGAAAGAATCAGGAGACCGTTTGGGAAGATGGTCCAAGCAACGAAGCACTGCCGAAGGTGTAGCGCATTGGCAATAAGACCGGCAAAGAGGTCGGAACCTGTGCTGGCACCAGTTCTTCCAAACTAAACATGCAAGCGAGTAATATGTTTAGTTTAGTATTAATTTGTTCTTATCTTATTCCTTTTGTTCCCACATCTATATATATATATACTGTAATTGGTTTCGTATTTTTCGAGGTTTTCGCTCAATCTGCAGTTCTTGGAAAGGCGAGCTGCTTTCGGGTCAATCCGGGTCCAAACTGCAAATGGACTCCTCGGGGGGTGGTCCTTGCTGGCGACCCCTAGACCAGCCGGCTTCTCGTGGCCAGCCGCCCCCACCCCTCACCAAATTCTACCAGGATCCTCCTGAGCTCTTTGTTCGTTGGGTTTCCTTGTTTTGTTTTTGGCCCACTCCCCCCTCCCTACTAGTAACAAGGGCATCGCGGGTTGGTCCCGTCTCCTGTTTCGTTCATGTTGTCTTGTTCCATTATTTCCTGTGTTTGTTCCTATGGGTTTCATATTTTGGATGCCAGTCATCTCCAATGTTTTCCAATTAATTGTTTTTTTTGATCACTCCCAGTGGCCCAGTGGAAGCTTAACTTCATCAACATAAAAGTAACCAAACTCAAAAACGAAAGCTGTTATCTCAGTGTACATTTTGCAAACAGGGAGCTAATGATGCTGCTTGGGGCTGCCAACTGCGACTCCGCCGCAGGCTTTCAGCTTGCGCATCATCGGGAAGCCTTGAGAATCACTGAGCCAAATGCAATCTGAATCGCTAGCCATCTAAACTACTCGTTCAGTACTGAAGAAGCCTAGGCACGGTGGATGATACGATTTGTCCGTTGATGAGGCCAAAACCACCTCAAAATACAAGTCACATTTCCCTGTATGCCAACTGTATGCTTGCAGTTGCTTGTGCGCGTGTATTTGGTTTGCTGGTTTTGTTGACAAATCCTGCTGTTTCTGCACGCAACAGCCGCCTGGCTTGATCGAGGCGTTTGCACAGGGGATGCCGTAGAAGTCGTTGCCTTGGATGTCACCTTGACCTGCGACGAAATGCATGCTTAACATGCCGTTGAAGAAGTAGTCCTCCTCAATCTACTTCATTAACAGGAACCCCTGACATTCCTGAGCTATGTTTCCGTCGTCTTATGTTCCCTTTTGTGGCTTGCAGCACGACAACTTCCGCCATCCGGTCCTGCGCTCGCTGGCTCCTGAGAGATTGCCCATTCCGGCCATGTCCGGTGCATATGAGAAAAACAAGATCGAAACGCTCTAGTGGGAAGAGAACAAAGAAGGAGTGGAGCCCTTTAATCAGGCCCTCTTTTTAAGCGGCCTTACTTATTACGCGGGCCAAAGCGCATTTCTTTTTGTCCTCTTCTTTCATCCTCTTTCCATCCCTTCTCCCTGGCTCTCCCTGTCAGCGTGGTGGCTGCAGAGTTCCAACGCGCAGGTAGAGCTGCAAGGCTCCGTGCCTGGACTTGAGAGCGGGGCGCTCAATTCAAAATTCCTAAAACTAACACAAACACAGCGGAAGGCTCGACTAGCCAAAGAAAAACATTTTTACAACCGAGACCTGGCCAACAAAAGCAGAGCCTGGCGGCTTGTGCATAACCCGTGCTGTCCACCTCTAGTTTTAGTTTGCACTATCTCGGCCTCGGGTAAAACGGGAGCAGACTGTGTTGAGGAGCAAGGGGATCCAAGGTCCCAGGCCTGCGGACACTTCACTTGAGATCAAAATGTGAAGTGCTTTGGTTTTCGCAATTGTGCCTGCCTGGGGCAATCTGCGATAAGAAACGGTTGCAGCCACTGGCATGGCCACCGGCACCTGCAATGGCCGCTGCACACCAGCAAAGAACTGGCTCCTTCCTTGGAGATTTGTTGTGTTTCCTATGTACAATGTACAAAATCAACCTTCAACTCGAGCCCGCTCGAACTCCAACGCGGCTTTGCCACACTGTCCAGCCGTAACACATTTCAGCCAGCCTTGGGCGTGCTCGCGCTCACCTGGTGATGCAGGACAAGACCGGAGCGGCGAATTCATGACAAAGGAAAACAAACGGCGTTCGTCGGCATTCTATCATAACTACAGTGTGCAGTTGGAAACAGATGACATCAATGTCAGCCCCACGTGAGATAGAGAAAGCTAAAACAGTAGCAGCATGGATGCTTGCTTGCAAATTGCTTGAATATCTGTGTTGGCGTCTTTCCACATCAACCACTGCGTGGCCAGCAATATGCTATGGATGCTGTCGCTGAAAGGGAAGGCTTTTTCAGATCGCGCAAAGCACGCTCAAATTCGAGCCGGTTTTGATTGCAATATTGGTTTTGGCTTTAGGGAAATGCATTCAAGATACATGACGTACTACTTTCCGGATTTTCAAAGCACGTATAAAACCGTACAAACAATCATGAAAATCCCTCAGGGTTTGCATCTGATCTGATCTGTCCTACCCTTTTGACTTCATAAAGGCTGGCCTTCAGCCCTGCATCCTTCCCCAATGCCTGCATGAACAATCTAAATTAAAGAATAAAGAAAGCCACAGAGTGGGAAAATGGCCACAACGAGCCTGACTGCGTGGCGTAGCTGGGCCCTTCCACGAAGCATTTTGGCTCCAAGAAACTCCATTCACTAGACCAGAAGTATCGAGTTGCAAAGCCAATCATGCTGTCTGGTGGTGATTGAGCAAACCAGAGCCCGTCCTGAACGATAGATGTTCTTGCCTGGAAAAGCAGCGAGAGAGAGAGAGAGAGATGAGAAACAGCAAGCATGCGCAAACAGGCTCTGCTTCACACTCTCGACAGGGGTCATGGAATTCTTTAAGGCTTCTTTGAGGTTCTCGGTCATTATAGGGCACAAAGGGCGGAGGGCGGAGTCTTAAGCGACCAACATTTACCTAGGCTGATCTCTCGCAGACCTTTGCATTGGCCACACAACGGCTTCAATTACCTACATCACAACATTCTATCCGAGTCACCATCACCACAAGCTGCCCAGAACCTTGGTTTGTATCCTTCCAGAACGTTCCGAAACCCACCGAGACCCTTGCCTTGCACTTTGAACATTTCTAAAAAAAAACCTCCCCAAGTCTGGCTGGAAACTGTTTTGGAATGGTCTTAGACTCCTAAACAGATTGTTAGCATCTATGTTGCCGAATGCCGGGCTTCCAAAGCAAGAAAAGCCTCTATGGTGGGGCCATCGATCAGCCAAGGGCAAATTGTGCATATAACAATATGCATATTCAAAAAGTAACAGCAGGACTCCCTTCCCAATGACCCACGATGACAGTTGTATGGTTTAGAAACGAAGTAGCGCAAAAAGACCATGAGACGTACTTTACAAATCGCACATGAATGACTTAACCAAGCATGGTTACGTGCAAATATATCATGCAATGCTATGTACAGTATGTCATGTATACTGTATTATTAGACACTAGAAGCAAAACATACAGGTAAGCATCTGCAACCTTTTGGAATCTCCCAGGACATGGAGCAACCTCTTACATCAAATTCACATTATATAGACTCGCCTCGATAAGGCTGCCAACGGTTTCCGCATGGTTGCGGCGTGTGCTACATGGTTTGCCCGTCGCCGCTGGTGCAATTCTACTGCAGAATGCAAGTCGAGGTTACAAATCGCATTGACAGGTGGCACAAGCTCACTCGATGCAACTCAGATAGTTGCAAAGTAGAGCTTCTCAGGGAAAACTGAATTAGAGTAGGGATGCGAAGTTTCCGAGCACAGAAAGTCAGAGGAAAGTGGGGAAGTCAGAAGGAAATAGATACAAGATTATACAAGCCAAGGTTTGCACAGACAAGTACGGAAACGCTTAAATTGGACGAGAAAAGTAGGATGTCTGGAGTCTAGAGACACACAGCCGACGCAAGTAAAGCCAAGTGAGGAATTCTATAGAATATGGAAAGCTAGACCTATCTCAACACAAGTCTAATTTAAGTAAAGAAGAGCCGACACGTCAAAAGAAAAGCAAGGAGAGCTTCCGGGAGAAATTTATAGTATAGACAAGCAAGTTGAGATTGCGCACGGAAATCACAGAAAAGTCGAGTTTCCACAAGATTTTTGGAGGCATGGAAAGTTGAAGATTTCTAGAGGAAAGGTTCCAAAAATATGATCTTGGGCACTTCACGACACTGCGGCTCAGCATCACGAACAACCCAGCTGAATTTGACCACATCAGGAAACACCACATCACCACCACAAATCACACATCGCCAAATTTGAAATCATCAACACCACACTTCATCCATGAAATGACAACACATCAGCTGCCGTTGCCGCAGTTGACCGTGGTTTGCGGTTTGCTACCACTGCTCTTGCCTTGGGACGTGAGATGAAGGCTGGCGCCAATTGCATAGCAAATCGACTGCAATCCAAAACGCATCAAAAAGGCATCCAGCACTCTCCATAACACCATCCGGGCACATTTCAAATTACAACACACCACAACTGTATATAGCCGTCTCCAACGGAACCATGACTGTAACAACAATTACATTGACATCTATCAGAGGTTACCGGCATCACGTCACCATACCCCGTCACAACCAATAATTCAAATATGTCCTTTTCAGAATCTATTCATGCTTAGTCTTGCTTGAAAGGCCTGCAGGTGCTGCATGCCTTGCAAAGGCACCTGGATAACCTGGGAATGGGCTGTCAGACTCACTGCCAGGGTGCTTGTCTGACTTTATCTTTGCACATGTTCCTGCACTCTGCGTCTGCACTCTCAAGCCTCCATCTTTGAAAGCAACAGCATCCGGATTCTTCCCTTTCTCAATACGAGGAACGGATATACGTGGCTGAGTAAACCGCGGCGGCCGAGCCTGACAATACCCACAGCCCTCTGGGCAGGAAGAATCAAGGAACAACTACACCTTGCACTTGGCGAAGTCCGTCAGCTGTAGAGCTATCTCGTCCCCAAGTCGGATGCACGTATATGTACTGTCTGCATGTAGGTAGGTAGGTAGGTAGGTCTGTCTGTCTGTCTGTCTGTCTGTCTGTGTCTATGAGTCTATGTATGTATGTATGTATGTAGGTAGGTAGGTAGGTCTGTTTGTATTTATTGTAGGTATGTAAGTATGTAGGCAACTTAGGTAGGTAGGCATTTTTCCTGAAGGCGGCGGTTGAAGTGGCCACTTTGGCCGGGCAGGGCCTCAGAAGAAATCCACATAATAGGTTCCAGCATTGTCTGGCAGGCCGCTCCTCCAAGCCTTCAGTGCCGGTCTTGGGCGCGTTCTGAGAGGACTTTGGAAAAACTTATGTTGTCCACTTACAGCCAAGTTCTAAGAATCATTGAAAAAGAAAAAGTGCAGAAAAAAAGCAAAACCAAAAAGCAGAAAGAAAAACTGTCTGGATAAGAAGTGCAGAAACAAAGCAGAAAAAAAGCAAACAAAAGTGCAAAAAAAAAGCAAACAAAAAAGGGAAAAAAAGCAAACAAAAAAGGGAAAAAAAAACAAACAAAAAAAAAACAAAAAAATGCAATTTTTCACCCACTTTTCCCCCACTTTTTTTGTGGCTCTGGAATTTGTGCTCCCACTTTTTCCCCACTTTTTCACCACTTTTTTTGTGGCTCTGGAAATGCCAAAACTTTGCACTTTCCTCGAAAAAAAGCAAAAAAGTGCGAAAAAAGTGCAAAAAACGTGCAAAAAAAGAGCAAAAAAAGTGCAAAAACAAGTACAAAAAAAGTGCAAAAAAAGTGCAAAAAAGAAACGTGCCCAATTTGCATCCAAAAAAATGCTCTTTTTTGCTTTTTTGTTTGCTTTTTTTTTGTTCTTTTTTTTGCCCTTTTTTTTGCTCTTTTTTTGCTTTTCTTGAACGTTGCTATTTTGTGTTTGCTTTTCATGCACGCACTTTTTCTGCACTTTTTTTGCACTTTTGTTGTTTCCCATACTCCCATAGAAGTTGGCTAACTGGCCAACATAAGGAAAAACCTCCTGCGCCGTGGTCCATTGGCGGCTGCCTGAGGATGCCAGGGTGAGTCTTGCAGCAGGCACTGCTCAGCGCATGAAAGCCAATCAGCCAAAGTCTGGACCTGGGCGTTGGTGGGGTTCTCGCAGAGCTTGATCTCCACAGTCTGTGGCACAAGTGCTCCATGTCGCAAAGCACGTGAGGTATTGGTGGAAATGGGTGGATCGGTCTATAATCCCTGGCGGCCGCGTCAAGTTCAAAGGCCAGCGCCAGGACGCTATTTTGGCGCAGGGCGTAGTTGAGCGGAACTTGCTGCCAAAGACTGTGCACGACTGTGCTCTGGAAAGCTTCAGCCGGGTTGCTCCAATCAAGCCTATCAAGACATAGTGACATAGGGTTGGCGAGCCCAGACCGGTGCCAGAACACGAGTTGGTGCTGTGAACTTTGCCCACACCTCTTCCTACCAGCACCTTCACAGAAATGACCCTGTCAAGGACATCCTCATCGTGGTGCACCGTGCGCGGCAAAACGCGCTGTAGCAACTGGACCTAGCTCGATAAGATCCAGCACGGCGACCGCTGTCAAACATGCAGCGCAGCCTGGTCAGCTTCCACCAAATCAGGCGCATCTACCACGCAACCCAGGCCAACAGTGGGCCAAGAAGACCTACCAGGAAGCTTTGATGACTCCTCCTCCAGGTCTTGGGCGATGGCGACCACTCAAAAGGTCGAAGCTCCAACGTGAAGCCACAAATGCTTGGGACCGTGGGTGGGCAGCCATGCCGCTATAGATCCAAACCAGGTTGCAACAACTTGGTGTCGGTCCCGCCAAACCTGAGGAACCGGATTTGGCTGATGTTCTCAAAGCACCAAACAACACATGGCCGCCCTACCAGTGCAAGTCCAGGAATTGGTGGCCAAGCTAAAAATACCAGAGCCGATGTCCATGGCTGGCAAGTTGAAACAACAGGTGTCTGACCTGAAGAACCTGGCAATCAAGAAGGCCCAGTACCATAGAGTGTTTGCGGGGGTTTATGTTCTAGCGCCTGAAGATGACACCTCGTCATGCGACGGCTCAAAACAAGCTTCTCATGGGAAATCATGCAACGTTGCAGGGGATATGCAGCCTTTGCATCCTTTTGCGTTGGGTTTCACTTCAGGATGACATTTCATCCAAATCTGCATCAATTATATACTTCATTCGTCCGCCACCTTCATCTCCTGCGCCATGGCCCGTCCGACACTTTGAAGCTCTGGGGGGGGGCCTCTGACAGTTCATCTTTGCCAGCTCCTGGTGCCACTGAGACAATGGCCCACCTGCCGCTCTATGACTACGCCGCGCCAACGGAGTTGCTCATGCTATGTAAATCTAACAATGGTGGAAATCCAAGCCAAAGGCGTTATGCAAACGCTTGGCGTGCCTTCGCCTGGATGTGTGCTTTCTTGCAAGAGGACAACTTCCAACCTGGGGAAACATCCGCTCTGCAGTGCAAGACGCCCTCGAGAGCATGGAGCCAGTGGACCTTCTGCGCCTTCCAGGTCTCAAAGATCTTTGGGCCTTCGCCCTGAAATCAAACCTGGAGGATTCCTCACGGACCACTTCCAGGTGCCTGTGCACCTCACAGGAAATTGCAGCCTGCGCTAGGGAGCCCGGACTTTGGTCCCCCGCAAGTATTTTGGCATTTATGTTGGTCCTTGCAGAGCCTTCTTGGTGCGGAGGTACGTGCCAAGGACGAGGATTGGGTTTTCTTTGGCCTTCTGCGTGGTAGTGATCAACCCAATCATTTTTTCACAGTTTCCAGGCTTGTCTTTGTTGCAGTGTGCAGGTAGGCCAAATGCCTGTCTTCCGCACCACGGACAGCAAAGTATTGACAGGCATTGTTGAGGGTCTAACCGTCCAAGTGGGTCTCAACAAAGAGAGCTGTCCCCCGAACCCTGAAGGTGGTCACGTTGGCAAAATGGAGGCAAGCTTCTCTGAGTGAACTTTGCCTGTTTCCTTGTTGGGCCAAGATCCTCCTGGCAGTTGAGGCACCGGTCACAAAGTCGGGGAGGAAAGGATCACTATCACGGGCATAGCGCCAGTGCCCTTCACAAAGGAGAGGCCAGGCTCCGATGGCAGTCTGGCCTGCGCCCGGCTTTGTATTGGACCGGCTTGAGGCCTCGAATGGCTTGAGCCGTGTAGGTAGGTTGGTAAGGTAAGGTAAGGTGAGGTGAGGTAAGGTGAAGTGAGGTGAGGGTAGTAGGTAGGGTAGTAGGTAGGGTAGTAGGTAGGGTAGTAGGTAGGGTAGTAGGTAGGTAGGTAGGTAGGTAGGGAGGGAGGGAGGGAGGGAGGGAGGTAGGGAGGTAGGGAGGTAGGGAGGTAGGGAGGTAGGGTAGGGTAGGGTAAGGTAAGGTTTGGTTTGGTTAGGTTAGGTTAGGTTAGGTTAGGTAGGTAGGTAGGTAGGGTAAAAATAAAACTAAAAATATAAAAAAGTAAAGTGAAGCATATAATTGATGTATATATATATATTATATGATGTAATGTATGTATATGTGTGTATGCTGGCCTGCATGTGGGCCTCGTGCACAACTCGTCCAGGGGTTGCTTCGACGGAGTCTGAGTCAGAGCCCTGGGCACAAGCCCAAACAACCATCCCCAAATCAGCTTCAATAGCCGAACCCCCCACCTGGCTTGAGAAAGATGCATCAATATCAGTGGCACAGGTCATCACCTTGCACCATCATTTCAAGAAGAAGAAATGGGGCTTTAAACAATGAGTTGAACGCCACTGTACTTTTGAAAGGGAACACAGCAATCCTCGGCGCAAGTGCACTTCTCTGGCGATTGGCATAGGGCAAAGGCCTTGGCTAACTAAAGCTGACTTCAGTCTTCCAAAGTCCAATCTTGTCCGCGCATTACAGGAAGCTCTGGCAATTGATCTCAGCAACTCCCGGGTAGCAGCAAACTATCCGACGTGGCCGCGGTCTGGCCTCTCAGAAATCAAAAAAATTGAAATTCGAATAAATCCTGTGATGGTTGAAATCGTCTGTGATCCTCTCAAGGTGCAAAAACTTCACCTGCAAGGCCAGCAAGTATTCGATGGCCGAGTCCTGTGCCATGGCCTCTGAGCCCTAAGTTTGAGGCGATAGGCTACGGCCGAGCACAAAAACATACTAGTAGCTTCTAGGCATCGCTACTAGTAACAAGGGCATTACTAGTAGCAACAAGGGCATTACTACTATTACTGGTAGCTAGAAGCTATTAGAAGCTACCAGTAACAATTAGTTTTCAACATCTCGCGCTTTGACAGGAAAAGTTCACCACAGCTTCAGGTTTCAAGCATGGGATGGAGAATCCCTCGCACAAATATCTGCATTTTGGGCTGCACACATCTTGAGGCATGTCCATCTCATTACTGAGGCTTCTGGCTGCACTTGCAAACGTGCTATGGTTATCTATGCTTCATCATGCTTCAATATGTGTTCAGATGCTTCAGGCCTGTCCGGCATTGTCCTGCAATTTTTGCACTTATCTGCATTGTTTGTTACCATGTCGACGCAAAACTTCCGAGCTCTCAGTAGCCTCCGCACCGGCACGACAAACTTCCAACTTCAAACCCGAGCCGTTGATCTGGCTAGTCTTAAGTGGCTCGGCTTGCACAAGCACCATTGGAAACGTCTCAGTTTTGGAAACGTCTCGCCTTTGAAGCCCTTATTCTTGCCGAAGCCTTTGTCGCCCTTTTTGCCTGAGAAAATCTTGCCAGTGCATCGGACCAAAAGCGGTTCCTATTTGCCGCCTTTGTCAAAGCCTTTCTTTCCATCCTTGCCAAAGCCTGCCATGTTCTCACAATCCGACGGAACAGCTCACACCGGCTCCCATGCACACCTCTCTCTTCTCACAAGCTGAATCATCCGTGCCTTTGTTGAAGCCTTTGTTGTAGCCTTTGTCGTATCCACCCTTGTCGCCCTTGTAGCCTGTTCAAGTTGAGAATCCACACGGATGCAGAATTGCATGAAAGCTGGCAGTCAGTAAAAGCGAGGGAAGGGTGGGATGGAGGAATGAAGTAGTTATTTTAATCTGGCAGGAATAAATAGCACCGGACTCCGCGGCACTTCTCAATGCTGGCTAGTGCGATGCTCTCCCGCGTCACCTCCTTTGAAGTCGCCCTTGTAACCTGCAAATGGGCTTGAAAATCTAATTCTATATAACACTCCTTGCAACAGGTGTTCCTAATCAGGCACGTGCACAATAGACAAGGATGTCTAATCTAGCGTGCTTGTTTTGAACTTCCTGCATTCTGCACTTGGTCAACGATCTTGTCGGCCTGGCCTCCAAGCACCTGCAACGAAAAAAATGAAAACACCAATCAACACACACACACACAACTGCCAACCAGTCCACACAAACGGAGGTATTGCGTGCGATGGCGGCTCTTTTGATGTGGGCATTGCTCAAACCCTTGAGTGGCTTCCTTTCAGGTCGCAGGCTCAGCGGCTATCAGAAAGATTACGCCTATGCTGCATATGACAGGAGAGACCCGTCACCACACTCTGAATCCACTTGCTACAACGCTGACACTTGAGACTCATATGCTTCGTCTAATCGTGAGGAGTTGGCCCAGGCCAGGTTGCGTGGTGAGGGTTTGCTCTCCTGTCTTCTCACGATTCTCATGGCATACTTCTTTGCATGAATCTCCTCGCTACATTTGTAGGGTTTGGTCGGGCTGTGATTCCCACAAGTCTTGTGTCCTGGTCGCCCTGTTTCGATTTGGTTGGGACGTTGTCTTCCGGGAATGCACATCGTCGTTCCTGTCCATTCTTGGGTGTCCTTGAGCCTCTCCTCTGATGGCTTGGCAATCGCATGGGCGTGTGTCTACACGTGAGCCGGTGGAACAGGCAGTCTCCTCCATTGTTGTTTCGTGTCATTTGGTGTCAATTTGGAAATGCAGGGCACTGAGCCTTGACTAGACTATTTCAATTGCATTGAGTTCGGGCCGGTTGCTCGTGCAGGTGCGTGTGCCGAGGATGTGGCATCCTGCCTTTTCTAGGTAATTATACGCACCTAAGCATATATCACCGCACCCTTTCGGCCGTTGCGCTCAAAAAGTGCTTCCTCCACACCTTCAGCAGCTTCCGGGACTGCAAAGGGGTGCACAACAAATTGCTTTGATCAAAACTAAACTACAAAAGATTGACCATTACCGGAACTCTGTAACTGATATCGGTCGGGGCACTCAGCGACAGACCTGCCTGTCCTTTTTCCTCAATCGAATCGCACAAGGCCAAGCCAAGGACTTATTGGAAACACGTGCTTTGTTTTCTGTGAGGTTGGCCTCATGCACTGGAATCTACTAAAAATGTTGGATTAAGTGGCTTTCCACTTTTTAGTGGATTTGAATCCTCGCGCGTCTTCTTTAAATGAGCACAGACTACATTTCGCCGGTTCGACAACACTCCGTGTCATGTTCACCTCTCTCCAACACAGCGTGCATTTTTGGGTCTGCCACTTCAATATATATATATATATGGGGTATCCCCTGTGAATTCCACCTGACCCCCAAGGGTGAGCATTTTATAGGTATAAACGGTACCCCCAGGGCTTTGCACTATACAAATCTATACAATCTGGACGCAAAAAATTGGCTGCAGAATATAGAATCACACACCCCATGCTTAAAATCTGGACCACTATAGAATCATCTGCAAAAATGGTCCTCTATAGAACCAGGAAATAACAGGTCGGTATAGTTGATGACATAGAGTAGGTGGCCTCATTCTATAGTGGACACCCCAGGTTGCCGGATCAAGTTACGGACGGCCGCTGATTACTTCAATCTTCCGCGAGGGAATGAGCAGGCTGACTGGGATGCTCTGACAAATCAGGTTGACTGAAACAAAACAATAGTTACAGTTTGAGGGCATCTGATGACCTGAAGAAGCGACATGAACAGTTGCTTTTCCTGTGAGCGGTCCGTATGTGTTTTCATTATGCTTGCAGTTGTTTCATATTCACATAATCTGTCATAATCTAAAAAACCCTCATGCCCCTTCTGCAATCTTTCATGAACCCTGAATCTATAGAGGGCAATTAGGTCTTGCTGCATGAAAGCCCTGGTTCTGTAGAGGAGAATTAGGAGGTTCCAGGAGGGTGACAAGGTTTGAGATTGGAGGCATTGGAAAGGTGATGACCTGGTCATGGATGATGGTTGATGGGATTGTGTGTTGACCATGAGAGTTTGAACCGTGAGAACAACGAGAGCTTTGCATATTGGCCCAAGTTTGAAGAGAGATCAGAGCCATGCCAATTGGGAGGAGCTTGCATTTGAGCTCATGGAGGAGGAATGGGCAATGGAGGCTCTATGTCTATGTGGTGAGGATGGTCAAGATGAGATTGTGAAGACACCAGCATTCAAAAAATGAAGACACCAGCACCAGCTGGAATGATTTCATGCAGATGGCCGGGAAAAGGGTGGGTCAAAAAGATCAGTTTCACCAGGCAGCTGTTTCACTAAAGTATGAAAATCTTGGATGCTAACTGAAATGTTAATTTTCTGGTGGCAAGTGGGCTCGATCAATATGGGAAGGTTTCTGCCACGAAAAATTAGGAGGCCAATGTGGAATTTAGGTTTTAACTTAGCTATATATATATATATATTAGGGGCTCGAGAAGGATTTGATTAGTTGTGGGAGGTGACTTAATCCTATGTCAACATTATACCAAAGGGAGCCAAGAAGTCTCATGAAGAGCAACCACTGACCTGATTTCAATCCATTCTCCAGTTGTTTCTTCGAGTCCATCATGCACAAGGCCATTTGACTACGATGTTTGTGCATCACACGTGAAAATGTCGGTCTTGGAGGGGTGTAGCAGTGTAGCATATATATATATATACATATACGTATATATATACTGTAATAATATAGGGTGCATGAGTGAACTCCACAGGCTTTGAGCTACATAAACAGGTCATTGTCCGTTGAATAATGATTCTGCATTTCAACACCAATATGGGGCATGTTTCTTGGCAATCATCGGTCAAAACTAAACTTGAGGCCGAGGGTAGGTGACGAAAGCAAGCGAAGCATACAGCGCCGTCCAGTGACAAAGGACTGGCGGGACATCAAGCGGAGTGAGGCAAAAAAAATTTTAATAGGCATGGGGCTGCTGGAGGGATGGTTCACAAGGTCTCGCTCATGAGGTAAAACGCTGTGAACATGTAAAACACACGAACCACAATGACACAGCCAACCTTAGCTTGTGAATCTGCTGAATCTGTTGCATCGTACCCAAAAACCTCCATGGGGGAGTTGAACCAAAGCGGATGCCATAAGAGGTGTCCAAGAGGTCCCAGGGGGGAGTTGAACCCGCGGGGGGGGGGGGCGTATGTTCAACACTTAGGGGCCATGCAGCAGGCGCACTTATATAATTAGTGTAAGCGAAGATAACAACGTAGCCGCTAAATGGACGCAGTGACGCCGCTAAGTGGACGCAATGACGCCGCTAAATGGACGAAATGACACCGCTAGATGGACGCAATGACGGGCTAAGAGAACACACCAACGCGGAGCCCGCTGAGCCCGTCGAGCCCGCTGAGCCATCGAGCTCGCTGAACCCGTTGAGCCTCTTGAGCCCACTGAGCCCACTGAGCCCATCAAGCCCGCTGAACCCGTTGAGCCTGAGCCCGTCGACCCCGTCGAGCCCGCTGAGCCCGCCGAGCCCGCTGAGCCCGTCGAGCCCGCTGAGCCCGCTGAGCCCGCTGAGCCCCTCGACCCCGTCGAGCCCGCTGAGCCCGCCAAGCCCGCTGAGCTTACGTTTCACAAACATGTAACATGAGATTCAAGTGTGCGCAGCATTATAGTAAAATACGGCCCACTATATCGACGCCAAGCGTTCAAGGCACGGGGGGGAGCCGTGGCTTGGACTGTTCCGTTCTATGTGACGTCTGCTCTTCTCAGCAAGACATGTTGTGTGCGTGTTGACCTCGCGTGGCATAGTGGTCGCAGCATTTAGATCATCATGGCAATCGTCGCTGTTGTCAGCGCGCTACAAAGGTCGTCGTCGCCGCGATCGTGAATGGTGGCACGAGCATGGTCGTCGTTGACCGCCGCTGCAAGAAGCAGCGCGCGGTGTCCGTGGGGTTCGCGGGGTTGGCGGGTTTCGCGGGGGCCGCGGGGTCCCCGGGGTGGCAGGGGGTCCGCGGGGCCTGCGGGGTTCGCGGGGTTCGCCGGGTCTGCGGGGTTCGCGGAGTCCGCGGGGTCTGCGGGGTCCGCGGGGTCCGCGGGGTTCGCGGGGTTTGCGAGGTCCGCGGGGATTGCGGGGTTCGCGGGGTTTGCGGGGTTCGCGGGGTTCGCGGGGTCCGCGGGGTTCGCGGGGTTCGCGGGGTCCGCGGGGTTCGCGGTAGTAGTAGTGCTGTAATCGTCGTCGTCG